TGATCTCTGTGGCCGCATCCCAACAGCTCCTGGTTCCCATGGTCACATCCCAACAGCTCCTGTTCCTCATGGTCACGGGCTGAGCATCTTTCCCCATTTCACTGGTGGGTTTGGCCAGGGAATTGGAGTGGGGGAAGGTTGCCAGGGTCTCCCTCCTTTCTGCCTTCCAGGGATGCACTCGTCACCAGTGCAGTGAACTGCCTCACCAGCTTCCTCTCTGGCTTTGTCATCTTCACTGTGCTGGGCTACATGGCTGAGATGAGGGACGTGGAGGTGGAGGATGTTGCCAGAGATAAAGGTTCTCCTCCCTCCAGCTTCCCTGAGTGCCCCTGGGCTGTGCCAGGGAACAGCCAACCAAACCAGTGTCTCCTCCCAGGGCCAAGCCTCCTCTTCATCACCTACCCTGAAGCAATCGCCAACATGGTGGGATCCACCTTCTTTGCCATCGTTTTCTTCCTGATGATGATAACTCTGGGGCTGGACAGCACGGTAGGCACCTCCCCCAGCTTAGCTGTGTCCCCAGTGGGGACTGGCAGTGCCCTGTGGCTACTTGTGGGGCAACAAGGGGAGCTATGGCCTTGGAAAGGAGGAGAAGAGGTGGGGTGGAGTGGACTGGGATGGGACATCTCCACTCTGCCATGGGGGGAGTGGATTTTCTTGGAGAGCAGGACTGTCCCCATGTCCCATTTCCCCACACCAGCATTGCCTTTGCAGTTTGGGGGCTTGGAGGCTGTGATCACAGCAGTGATGGACGAGTACCCCCAGGTCCTGGCTGGGCGACGGGAGCTCTTTGTCCTGGGCCTCATCACAGTCTGTTTCCTGGGCTCCCTGAGCACCCTCACCTATGTGAGTAGCACCAGCACCACTTCATCCTGGCTCCCCTCACCTCTACCCCTTCACCCCCACGGGCTCTGCAGCCTCCCTCCCTCCCTGTGCTGCTCCAGGGAGGAGCCTACGTGGTGAAGCTGCTGGAGGAGTTTGGTGCTGGCTGCTCCATCCTGGCAGTGGTGCTCCTGGAAACGATAGCTGTGTCCTGGTTTTATGGTAAGAAACTGCTTCTGTCATGGGAAACATCCCATGGGCACCTACATGGGTGTGTAACCCTACACAGGTGAGTGAATCCCAGGGTCTGAGGGGCAGAAGTTCATGTGTGACTCCTGGCAAGGGGATGGGGATGGATGGCATGTCCATGTGGCTGTCAATGTCCCTGCAGCTACGTCCTTGGCATGTCCCTGGGGCTGTGATGGCTCTCTCCTCCTGCAGGGATACAGAGGTTCTCCCACGACGTGAAAGCCATGCTGGGCTTCACCCCAGGGCTGTTCTGGAAGGTGTGCTGGGTTGCTGTCAGCCCTGCCTTGCTAGCTGTGAGTATTCATGGCCTGAGCTACAGATAGGGTCGGTCTCCCCTCTCCTGCCCAGCTCCCCATGCCATGGATAATTCTTCTCTTGCTCATGTGAGGTGACCAAGCTGCTGGGAGGGTGGACAGGGCTGTGGGACTTCATGCCAGACCTCCCCATCAGCTCCCTGTGCTCTGCCCCAGACACAGGCAATGCCATGTGCCCACATGGACCATGGGTCTTGCCAAGACCAACCTCTTCTCAGCTCCAGGACAAAGCTGGGTGCTCACACGGGTGCATGTGCAGCCTCATTTCACCCTCCTGGTCCGAGCTGACCATGGGTCCATCTCTGGTGCCTGTGCCAGGCTGGATCCAACCCCTTTGAAATGCAGCTCCCTCGGCACTTCAAAGGCTGCTGTTGGTGAGAGGCAGAGGGGTCTAATCTCGCTGGATCTGCAGGAGGAGAGGCCTTGTAAGGATTAATTAAGGCTCTAAGCGCTTTGCCCTGGTTATTAAGAGAGGAGTATTAGCATCAAAGCAGGCAGCAAATGATTTTGTTTCAGCACAGGGACATGCAGCCTTTGCAGGGCTCTGTCTCCTGGGCCTCAATAGGCAGAGACCCCCAGGCCTCACCCAGCAAGGGGTGGTAGCCTGGGAGAGGTCACTGCCACGTCCACACTGGCCTGAAGTCGTTGGGAGAGCAGAGGGAGCAGTGGGACATGGATGGTGTTAATAGAATTATGGAATCCCAGAGTGGTTTGGGTTGGAAGGGACCTTAAAGATCATCTCATTCCACCCCCTTAACCTGATAACCTGTGGGATGAGACGGTATCAGTGCTGGGGCTGGGGAGATCATTTGGGTTGGAAAAGCATTCTAAGATCATCTGGCTGCACCCTCCTGTCAGGGAGTTGTAGAGAGCAGAAGGTTCCCCCTTTTCCCCGGCCTTTTCTCCAGGCTGAGTCCTCCCAGCTCCCTCAGCCACTCCTCATCAGACTTGTGCTCCAGACCCACTTGCATTCCCTTCTCTGGACTCCAGCTGACTCATGAGGGGCCCAAACTGCACACAGAATTTGAGGTCCCTGATGGCTCCACTCACTCGTTACAGTTCATAGTCATCAGTTCCCTCCTGGACCAGCCACCCCTGACCCTCTTTGACTACCAATACCCCGAGTGGAGCATCTCAGTGGGGTACCTCATCGGAGCATCATCCTTCATCTGCATCCCCTTCTACATGGTGTACAAGCTCGTCTGGACACCAGGGTCTCTCAAGCAGGTCAGGAGCAGGACAAGCAATCCCATGGCTCCTGGGTGGGCTGGGGTGGGCAGGAACCCCCACCCGAGTCAGCCTGAGACTGTGGAGATGGGCAAGTGGTTGGTGCACCCTCAATAAATCCCACTGGGAGAGCTGCCTAGATAGGGCTCAGAGGAGCACAGCTCCATGGCAGGAATGAAATCCATTGCCTTTTCCCTCTCCCTCTCTCCCTCAGCGCCTTGCTGTCTGCATTCGGCCGGAGAAGACAACTCGAGCCCCCCAGGCAGAGGCAGTGGCCATGGCACCTGCCCTGTAGAGAGGTGGCACAGCCAGGGCACACAGAGACTGACCCAGTTCCCTGCCCTGGCAAAGCCATGGGGCAGCAGGAGAGCAGCTCCATCACCTTCCTCACCACGTCCTACCCCTCACATCTCCCCCAGCACTGCGCCCACTGCTGCGTGGTGTGCCCGAGCATCCAGGTGGAAGCAGCACTGCCAGCACATCCTGGCAGACTGGAGCCTGTTCTCACTGCAGGCAGGGAAATCTGAGATCCACAGCAGGGAGAACAGGACCCACTGCAGGAAACCCTGAGATCCACAGCAGGGAGAACAGGACCCATGGCTGAGCCCTGTGGGCTGGAAGCCAAGGGGCCAAACTCTCCAAGCTGGAGATAATCCCAACTCCTGGCACTGACACAGGAATTGCCTCACTCGGAGACACCTGTGGCCTCGGCGTGCAAAGCCGCGGGTGTGAGCAGTGCGTTCTGTAGCTGTGCTGTGAGTGATGTGGAAATAAAGCTGCTGGCGATGCTCGCAGAGCTGGGAGCAAGAGGAGCAGGAGCTCACCGTGCTGTGGTCCTGGAGCGCCGTGCGTGGCTGAGCTCGGGGCTGGGCTGGGGGAGCAGGGAGAGCTGGAGCTGTCCTGACACCGACACCTCGGGCTGCTCCACAGATCCAAAGTTGGCTGGAGGAATTGCCTGGCCCCGGGGTGAGTCCCTGGGATGCTGCTCCAGCCGGGCAGCTCGGTGCTTCCTGCCGCCCCATCCCGGGGGATCCAGGGAACTGGCAGCCTTTGGCATTTGAAGAAGGAAACACCTTAATATACCTCGTTTTAAAACCAAACTCCGTGT